GAGCTACACAAGCCAAGGCTCTATTGCTGTTCTTTCCCCCGCCCCTCCACAATTTCTCCACCCACACCCCACCCTTCAAAAAAGCCAGACAAGATCTTTAAACACCAAGGATAAGGAATGTCTTCTCCATTCCCCCAGTACATAAAACAATGGCTGTCTCGTAGTAGGCACTCAACGTGCGCTGAGCGGAAGAATGATCAGTCATCGCCTCATTCCTTCATAGGTAGTTTCCCCTCACACAGAACAGAATCCAAACTTCACACATTGCCTTCCGTCATCGGGCCCCATCACCTCACATCCCTGCTTACTATGTTCCAGACTCTCTGGCTTTGACATTCCCCCAACTCCCCAAAGTCCCATCATGGAACTGTTTCTGTACCCCCTCTGCCTAAACACTCCTCCCCTCGTGTCTGGCTCCTTCTCATCATTCAGGTCTCAGTACTGTCACCTTCTCGGACAGGCCTTCCCTGGCCAGCCTACTCAGAGCAGACCTCTCTACACACCCTCTTCCACCTCACCCTATTTCCTCTTCTTTGTCACACTTACCATTAGCTGAATTATCTTGGTGGTGGTTTATTTACAGACTGTTTATCCCCACTAGAATGCAAGCTTCCACAGACCTGAGACCTTGTCTCTCTTGTTCAGTGATGTATCCTTAGAGTCCAGTACAAGCCTATGACTCACAAACATTTACCAAGTGCTTATGTGCCAAGCACTATGCTAGGTAACAACAATGGGTTCTTTAATTAAAGAAAAATAGAAAGTAGAAGTAAAATATTGGCATAAAGAACAATTTGATATTCTCTTTTATGACAATCATTCTTGTTCTTAAAATAAATGACCTTATACAATAAATTCCACTTTTTTAAGAATATTATTTTGCCAGTGTAAAATATGAATATCCTTAAAGTGGTCATAATAATTAGTGTCTCATTGTAGTTTTAGAAATTATGTAGATGACCATATTCTTCATTTTTTTAAAAAGATTTTATTTATTTACTTTTAAAGAGAGGTGAAAAGAGGGAAAAAGAAAGGGAGAGAAACAGCAATGTTCAAAAGACACACCAATTACCTTGATTAGTTACCCCCCTACCCCCATATACCCCCAATGAGGAACCTGCCCCAACCCAGGCAAGTGCCCCAACCAGGAATCGAACTAGCAAACCCTCAGCTCACAGGCTACACTCAATCCACTGAGCCACACGAGCCAGGGCACATACTTCATTTTTTAATGCACAATTTGAGAAAAGTAATTAGGCTATCACTCAATAAAATACTACCTAGGAACCTTCACATCATCATCTTCTTCTCAGAGTACACATATAACACATTTCATCCAATCAGAAAAACCACGACTCTGTAAAGCCTTTCTTTCTCAACATACAGAAATATTCACAACATGACAAAAGAGGTTGTCCACTCACCATTTATTGCCTGGACTCATTTTATCAGCTTCATTCAGGCCAAGAAGTGATAGTTTCAGTAACTAATCAAGTTCATTTCACAAAAGTCATCACTAGAGTTGAGATTGACCCCTCACCCACAAATGCCTATTTATTATAAAAGAACATGTCCCCTTGAGTTTAGGAGAGCTATGTTTCATTGTTACCAGAGTACTTTTAGGCCCACCTGATTAGAACTGCAGCAGAAAATTTCAGTATTTGATGCAATCACACCAGTTACTACCCCTACCATTATGACATCTCTATTACCTATTTCAATGCATCAACTAGGAAGAGGTAGATTTAAAAGCTGAAGGCACTGAAAAAGTAACATTTCTTCAGCTCATGTAAGTGTTTTCTGTAACGTTTTACTTTTAGCGCATTTTAAACTGGCATATCCTACCTCCAATATTTTTAGGTTGAATATACTAATATTTTAAAGTATGACTTATAAAAAGGAACAAATTCAATACAATTAAGTATAAGTACCCCAAATATCACTATATCATACTAGCTTTTTAACCCCTAAAGGACATATATCCATCATATATCCAAATTTGAAATTATTATACATTTTGAGTAATAAGGTATTCTCACACACAACCAAATGCCTCAAAAACGTACCACATGTTATATTTAAAATTAGCTTTCTAATTACCCTGCCAACCCAAAAGAAAAAATATGCATGGGGGGGATTCACAGAAATCAGAAAGTATTTACCTTATTCTCACTTATAATAGTTACTCAATAAAGCTGAAAAGTGTTGATAAAGTCAAAACCAATTTAAATACTAAAGCAAAGGATAGTATCTTCCAAACTACACATGTTTTTATTCCTATTTGTTTCTCCTGCCATTACTTTAAAAAAGTTTCCTCCAGTTTTTTAGAACACTAGTTCTATATTATCTTTGGTTTTCCCCTTTAGTCTAGTTACATATCTGTATAAACAATCCAGTTTCGGACACCTAGAATTAACCCACATATTGAGATAAACTCTTAATATCAGAAATTATTTACTTGTCTGCCTTCACACTGGCCCTCAGAGGACCAAAATGATTACTGATAAATCCAATTAGAAGACTGTTCCCTTTGTTTTCAGAAAAGTTCTAAAATCACTCAAGTTAATCAAAAGATATACTGAACGATCTTTTTAAAATATGAATTTTCTTCAAATTATCAGAAAGGAAAAAAATCCCTACGTGAATCAATCAGAGGTCATTATCTTGACCTTCACCATCTGCTCACTTGTGAATAAAACCACACAAAGTTTTTCATGTAATGTGTAATTTTTAAACAAAATAAAAATAATTTCAAATATTTGTTTACTCAAGAAGAGAATAAAGGAACATAAATAACTTCATCACTATAATTATAAAAGTAATCAATTATCAGTATACGGCTGAAAAATATTTTATTGGAAAGTCATGTCCTGACTTACCAACAGTTTATCATATTAAAGCTAAGATAAAATATATGCTTTGTAAAGAAATCTGTCCAAATTCCTTAAATTTAGGTAGTATTTATGAAGAGTCTTCTTCCACTACATTCTTTGCCACAGCAAAGGTTTAGAGACTGCACTATAGCCTCAAAGCTTCATTTACTTATGTTCTAAGCATTATGATATTTTTTATCTCATAGTTCTAACAATGGAAAAATGGATACAATTTTTGGATGATATTATTCCTCCAAACCTGCTAATATTAAAAATTGTAAGTGGTTAAGTTACCAAGACATTACAGATGGCTTTTGATATGCACAGATAATTGAAACCACTCCCTCTAGTCACTTAGGGATAAAGAAATGTCTTCTCACTCACTGAACTTACTTTTTTTTTATCGTTGTTCAATTACAGTTGTCCCAATTCCCCAACCCCACCCACCACTACCCCAAATCCGTTGCTCTCCCCTGCCCAGCCTACCGTCCTTCCACAGTCAATCCCCACCCAGCTGTCCTTGTCCATGGGTCCTTCATACATGTTCCTTGGCTTAAGCATCAAAAACCTCTCAACTACTGTCTCCTCTTCTTAGGACAAATACTATATACTCTAGAGAAAATAATTCCCTACTTATATTTTTTTACTATTATTTCTAAAAGTGTTGCATGACCTAATTTAACAAAATTATTTGACAAATCTAGCCATGGGTTTTGAAATATATATGTATCTCTAGATATAATACACAGCTGTGGTGTCTACAGTTAACAATACTGTATTGTAAAATTGAAATTTGCTAAGAGGGCAAATCTTAAGTGTTCTCACCACACACTCCATCCCATCCCACAAAAGAAAAGGTAACTATGTTAAATACGATTCTAGAGATCATTTCACAATGTACATATCTGAAAACATCAACTTGTACATCTTGAATATATATATATACACACAATTTCTATTTGTTATGCAACTTCATTATTTGACATTTTATATCTGATAGTTTTTAAATAGCTGAAAATACTGCCAGTAAAAAAAAGGAAAAAAAACACTTCCAAATGCTGCTTCCGCTTTTTTGCTTTGAAAATAGCTTCGAAAAATGTATACAAAAAAAGTCAGTTACACAAGTGGAGCCCAAACATCTTATGGAACAAGGTTACTCAATAGGAGTCCTAGAACCACCGAAAATAGTAGGAAAAAAATTTATGTACATATAGTGTTTTTTCCTGGATAAAGTTCACATAACTTTCAGCTTCTCAAAGAGGTTCAAAATCCAATTAAGATTAAAGTGCCTGGAAGAACTGTCAACATGAAACAACTTGACGCAGACTACCCTAGCTTTATTTTTCATCTCAAATTAGGGTAAGATTTATCCAAATTTGGTGGCTCCTACCCAACTTCCGAGCGATGCAGGCATGAAATGGCTGTCGGACACAAACATCTCCCTTCTTACACCCAAGGCGGTAAATCCCAAAATTTTCTTGAAGGAGGAAGGGAGAGGCAAAGGATTGCAAATGGATTAACACCCTCGTTGTTCAAAGATCAATTCGCTCTCCATCCCCTTACTCCGAAGAGGGTTGCAGGGAGGTGGCCTGGTTCCAATGTGGGGCTTAAGTCCCCTCGGGGGTCACTTGCAGCGTTGGCATCACCAGCAGTCCCCTCCCACCCCCAAATGAGCCCGAAAGCAGTGGCTGCAGGCGTAGGCGCAGAATTCTGACCGCGGCCCACAGAGGCGCACCCCAAGACGCACCGCCGCTGCAGCGCGGACGCAGCGACCTTCCCGCCCGGGTCCCCGAGAGCCGGGTTATCCACGTCAGCCACACTCCGCACGAGGAAGAGAGAGGCAGATGGACAACAAAGCCCAACTTGAAGAGGTCCCCGAGAGCTTTAAGTTGGGGCTGGGGGTCGCGATGCAGGCGGACAGGGCCGGGAACGTGGCGCGCCAGATGTCAGCCGCAGGGTCCGGGTGTCGGCAGCCCGGAGGAAACGCTGCGGGTGGTCGGTCGCGCGGCGGCGTCGGGTAGACTGCTAGGGGAAGCCAGGCCTGGGGAGCGAGGGGAGCGGTCGGGGTCCGAAGCGCATAGGTCGGCCTTGACCCCAACCCAGCCCGGGGACGGTCCCGTTACTTACCCGCTGGGAAGCTGCGGACTCTGCCCGGGCTGTCCCGGCCGCCGGCCTCTGGGACCAGAAAGCGCCCCCACATCGCGGGCGAGAAGGCCGGGTGGACTAGGGACGCCCGATTCCCCACGTTAGTCCTCCCCCACCTTCGCCTGCTGCTTCTTCGGCGGCGGAAACTTGTGCGGAGCCTGGGCCGCGGCGGCACCGGCGTGAGGGGCGGCTGGTTAACGGCTGCTCAGCGACGAGGGGAAAGCACACTGGCTAGATTCGCCGCGGCGGCGGCTGCGGCTGCAGCTGCTGCCATAGCCGAGCCGGCTGGGCTTGAGGCCTGGGAGGGGAAGCGATGGCTCCGCGGTGGCGGCGGCTTGGTTCCCGGCTGAGCCTAGGCTCAGCGGCTCGGAGCGAAGCTCCTCCGCAGCTGGGCGGGGCAGGGTGGAGCCTGCGGGGCGTGGCCTGGGGCGCTTATATAAGACATGCGCGGCGCGAGAGGCGGGGACTGCGCAAGGCTCGTGGTGTGTACTCGCTTGGTTCTCCTTTGCTAGTGGAGAAAGGTTGGGTAGGACCTTCTAGCTGTATCCTTCCTTCCTTCCCCGTATCCGCGCCCTGCGATATGAGAAGGTGGTAACGTGGCCTGGCACCCCATCTTTCAGTAACCTCCTCCCTTGGGCAGCCCCTGAGGCCCTGCGGGACACTTCTCGAGAGAGACCTGGAAGACCTGCCTTCGCAGCACTGTGGCTGAGATAAAGACTAATCTGGGAAGGGTTGAGGGACTCCCTGCCTCAGCTGGGATTCAGTTTAAAATCTTCATGGTGCATCACACGAACAACGTTTATAGATCACTTTGAGGGATGAAAAGACGTTTTCTTCACCTTGCAAATTCACGGTAGGGGGAGACAGGTGGTAAAATAGCTACAACACCAGGATATGCGCACTTATAAGCAGAGACCCAAGGGTAGTTAGTCCTGGAAGGTTCAAGGAGGGGCCGGAAACTTTAATCCAGTAGCCCACTGTTTCTGACAAGCAACTAAAAGGGAGTCAAAACGGCACCAGGGTTTGCAATGAGAGAGTAACTCGCTTTACCACCCACTCATGCCCTCACGTTCTTTCCCCACCTTGCCAGTTCCCGCCCTTCAACTGAACCCGGAGTGCAGGGGCAGGTATCCTGAGAAGGGTGCAGCATTTTCCAATCTTCTCTTTGACAATATTCTAATGAAACGCTTAGATACAAAAGTTTATTTCATAAATATTAGTCGAACACTGTAGGAGGTGGACTATGCTCCTGTCAGATGAATCAGAGGTAAGCCACGAACAAGCCCCTCCGTTTAACAGACTTTGAGTCCGATGAGGTTTTTTCCCTATTTTGGAAGTTTGCTAACAAAGGCCTTACATTTGTCTTCAAACATCCTGTAATTGGGAAATACTTCTTGAAACTTTGGAGGTTAAATTACATTTAGGTTAATAATCTACCATTTGCACATTTGTGTTGTAATTTACCTAGTCGCGGTTTTATATTTAGTCTTCCTCTGGAAAATTTACACTTATTTCTCCAAATTATGAGCAGTTGTCCAAGGGTCAACTGTTTCTGAGAATAGAAACTGACAAATATGAAAGAAAAATGTGATTGGTTTCTTTCCTCGTTTAAATGTTCGTTTAGGTCATTAATATGGTACTTGAATAGTACAGGTTCAAGAAGAATCCTAAAACAATAAATTTCTAAAGAACTTATAGAAGCTATAGAACTAGATGGGTTTGAACTCTGCAGGTCCACTTATATTTGGATTTTTTTTTAACAAATCCTCTGTATTCCCAGGGTTTCCCACCTGCAAATTCAACCAACTGCAGGTCAAAAATAGTACTTTCAATCTGGAGTTGGGTATCTACAGATGGGGAGTGCTGGCTGTATTAACTGTTTTTTTGTATGCCATGTTACACAATATAAGAGTCTCGAGCATCTGTGTATATTGGTGTCCTCTGGGGTCGTGGAACCAATCCCCAGTGGATACAGAAGGGCCTGTGGGAAGTCAAAGTTAAACCTGGATTTTCTACCGCATGGGAGTTGGTTGTTTAAGGATCAACTGCAAGTTAAAGTATCCTTTTTTTAATGATGTATAGTTACCATAATCTCATAGTACATAGAACATTTATTAAATACCAAACTTGTTTCATACAGTTCTGAGAATTGTATGAACAGTTACACATTTCACTTGGTCCGTTATGAGTTTAATAAATACTTATTTGTTATTCTAAAACTTTGCCAACTGCCTCTCAGTCGTAGCCAGTATTTATATAAACTTGTTTACTCTGGTTTTCTACATGTTTTTATCATTGTGAAGGACATGCTACTACTACACACACACAGAAAGTTGAGACCATGTAAAATATTTCAATACCTATTACAGAGTAAAAGCAAATAGGGAAAACATGTTGCTGTTTTTGCAGCTGGCACCAAAGATAAACATTTTTGTCTTCCTATAATTAAACTTGGGAGGGTAGAGATATAATGTCATTAAAATAATTGAAATACTAATACTAAGTGAAAATATTATATATATGAAATAAACTGTAACCATCCATTTTTAAGCATGGATTCTGAGTATACACTGAACTAATATTTTTTCACACATCCATAATACACCCAGTATCCGTAGTTCTAAGAATGATTAAAATTTATCATAGTACAAGACCCAGAGCCTAAGAACCATCTATTCTAACTATTACTGAGCCTTATGTTGTAAACCGACATATTTTTGTTTTGTTGTGACAACAAAGACTATAAGTAAAATCTCACAAGTTAAGACCTTTATTATTGAACTTCAGTATTTTAATAATTATTTTTATAAGCAGAGATAATACAAGTAATGAAAATAGTGACTGTGTGTGTATATATATAAATTTGGTTGTTTACATGAAATTCAGATAATGTTTTATAAAGGAACTTTTTAAAAATATAAAATAGATCATGAAGAGAAAAATAGTACTAAAAACACTTTTTATATCAAACTATATTAAACTCTTAAATGTTGCATTCGAAAGAGACTATTTTATAATGAAAAATAAGTGTTCCGTTCATAAATCTTAAGTTTTTGGATATGGACCTTTGAACTAATTAAGCTGAATTTACATGTATTTTTCTTACATGAATTTATCATAACAACAGAAAACTGGAGTGATATAACAATGGATAAAAGTAATATTTTGAAATTAGAAGAAAATCTTGTGCATAATGTGGGGTAACCTTATGAGAAGTTAATGTTTACTAAAATACCAAAACCAATAAAATGTAGCAAAATAAAACAAACCAATAAACATTAAAATAGTTTCTAAAGAACAATTGCCATTTGGTAGAAACGGATTTGTAAATGAAGCCTAAAAATTCAAAGGAACGGATAATTCTGATGGATCAAGAAGGTAACAAGTACCATGATGTATAATCTCTTTCAGATTATAAAAATAACAAGTTGCTGAATTTATTATGGGTTGTTATCATCTCAAATAATCATCCCTAATAATGAATAAAGAAAACTAAGAAACTATACCTTTTGATGATGGATTTGAACATCTTCATTGGATTTCTAACACATACATTCAACTCTACAAAGGTGAATAGTGTAGATTACTTAATCTGTCTGAGGCCTGATTTCCTCATTTGCAATTGGAGAATTATAATAGTAAATACCTCATAGTATTATTGTGGGGATTAATTAAGTAGTCCTTAGAACAATGGAAGTGTGCACCCTATATTGGTGATGCAATCTAGAAACGGAGCTCTGTTATACCTCACCAAGAAAAAACATCCATTGGTATACCCAAGTCAGTTATAGGTGATGCTTTGAATACATGTATCAGAATGGAATAAAGTACTGATGGACAATTTTTCCTGACTTTTTGGAATTACTAATTAGTCCAGGGATTGTGGTGAAATGGTACATTCTTAAGAAATATTTACTAAATTCTTTGGGCCCAAGTTCATTGACATCTTCATTCTAGGCTGGGATTCTCTGAACTCCCCCTATGGATGTCTGCTTAGCTACTGGGTTTCCTGACACTTCCAAATTAGAGGAAGGCAGATTAGGGAGAGGTAGCCAAGTGGTATGGCCAGACCAAGAGGGCAAGGACACCTCATCTCAAGTCCCTGATTCCTGGGTGATACAGAAAATGGTACACAACAGTAAAACCAAGAGAGGGCTGAATTGTTGAAAGAAGGTTAAGGAAATAAGAGAGTGGACATTTCACATGAAATCAAAGAACAAATATGAGAGTAAGGGAGTGAACGGTGGAAAGATAGGGCATTAGGGTATTGGAGTTTAAGATTCCAGAGGTGAGGCAAGGGAGGAATTAATTTCTGAGGTAGCATTACAGTTCTAATCTCCCAGAAATACCTTGGTGGTCAGCTGTAAGGAGTGCTGTTGGCTGACAGCCTCCAGCTTTTAGCACCTGTGGGATCTGCCTCAGCTTTTGAGTGGAGGCCGCACTCTTCCTGGACAGCTCGATTCAATGACTAAGGGCAGCAGGGACCATGGGGCCCACCATTCACTTCCCATGCAGAACTTCCTAATCATCTCTACTCGAGCTCACCATTGAGTTGACTGGGACCTTGTCATATCAGTATTGTGGTCTAAGCCTTTCATTTCATATCTGATTCCTTGCCCCTTTTATCTTTCACAGGTGTTAATCCCCCCTCCGAATAAACTTCTTGCATTCCTAACTCCATTTTAGCATCTGCTTCCCAGAGAACCCAATTGAAACAATCTGTGAAAAAAAAGACTTTAAAAAGTTGGGTTTTCATCTATTTGTTTTAAATAGTAAAGTGGAGGCTTTATAGAACATAATGAAAAAGGTTTCTGAGGACAGAGTACCAAGGATGGGCTACCAGGAAGGCAGCACATAGCAACATGAACTGAAACTATCCAATAGTATAGACAAATAACAGTCTGCAATAGTCCTGACTGGCTGGCCCTGGCAGCTGCCGCCCTAGTTAGAAAAGTTTGCCAACTTACAACCTATGAAACTTACTGACTTCATCGAGGTCAACAGCATTTTAATTAGTTACATAAGAGTAATTAATTGGTTACAACTTCACTACCCAAATAAGTTTGAAACATTAAGACAGATTTTATAGTAAACTGTTTTTTTTATTTTCTTACTTCTACGTAGTTGAAGAGAATTCTATTCAATAACTCTGTTAACTTTGGTAGATTTTTCATTCCAAAGAGTTTTTGCCATATTGCTTACACAATGCAAGAACATAGGGATCATTGGAACTGCAAATGGAGTTAACATAATGACCCCTACAGTGATCTGGGCTAATTTAAGGATTGGACCTTTTGGCTAAAATTTCAGTGGAGGTCTAGAATTTTAACAAGTATTATAATACATTCAGAAAACAACACATATCT